AAATAAAATATAGACTACACTATTTACATCTCAACGCGGACAAACAACCTTTTTTGTACACATGTTTACTTCTGGGTACAGTCGACCGAGCCTTCCTCATCCAGCCTATGTTGTCACGTCTTTAATATTATCAATATTTTTTTTCTTGTTATACATATATATTGAGATATTAATACTACAGTTTAATAAAGTAGGTTTTAATATTCCATAGATGTATTAAATAGTCCTTATACTACTAAATTATAAGTCGGATACTGTTTAATAAGGATAAGTTCTTTACAATATGACAACACCGATTAGAGGCGAGGGAGCCTATTCATTCATTTATTGTTGCCGCTATCTCCCCGGCTGTATTAACGCATTTTCTTAGCTTGTAGTCCTTAAGTGTTTATTTTATTGACTTTTTCTGTTCAAAAACTATAAAATATGGTTCGCCAGTGCCAAATTTGCAAGATATTTGACTTAAATAATCCATTTAAGTCTTGAAACGACTTTTGACCGGTAGGCAACTCTCAATTTACCCATTGGCAGTCAGTGGCGTTGTTGTAGAAAGGCGCTTATTTAGATAATATTTTAGTAAAATGTAAAATCTGAATTTTTTCTTTTACATTACATTATTTACTTACTTACATTGTAACAAAATCATAATTATAACCCTGTTAATAATTAATAATGTTTTTTATAAAAATATATTCCGGTTTATTCTAAAATTATCTTCAGAATCTAAAATAACATACAAGAATTTTAAAATGATATTACATTATGAAACAATATTTTTAATATACCGGGTCGTCTCAAAAGTGGCTCAAACCTAAAACTTTTTATTTTTTCAGATAAAAAACAGATTTGTATGTTAGTAGGTATATGACATAAATTAGGATTGATTGACGTATTCAATTGTTTTCAGTCACTTCCTGTTTCACCAGAAATGATTACATCTTTTGATTTTTAAAGGCACCCTCGGTATATTGCTACTTTATTCGATAAAAAATGACACTCTGAATAGAATGACATATCATATGTCAACTTTTGACATTGTCGCTTAAAAACATATCCTATTTTAAATTTCAATCAAGTTTTTTTCAATCCACTAAGTTTTAATCAAGGAGCCTTGGAAAAATAGTTTTGATCGTCTAATAGGTTTCGTGTCTTGTCTAGGCCGGTTAAAAGATGTACAAATCGTATTTTTAATCATACATATGTCAATTTTTTTCAAATGGAACAAGGGTGACTCATTAGCATATTTGGAAAAAGCATTTTTTTATGAATATATTGATACCACACACTTGGTATTTCGAGTCAAATTGTCGTTATGAACCGCGTGTTACAATTACAATTAAACCATATGCGAAAATGTCAAAAGTTGACATATGATATGTCATTCTATTCAGAGTGTCATTTTCTATCGAATAAAGTAGAAATATACCGAGGGTGCCGTTTAAAAATTAAAAGTTATAGTCATTTCCGGTGAAACAGGAAGTGACCAAAAACAATTGAATGTGTCAATCAATCCTAATTTATTTCATATACTAACATACTAAATCTTGTTTTTTTATTTGAAAATATAAAAAATTATGGGATGAGCCACTTTTGAGACGCACCTGGTATAATAAAGACAGTACCGAGTTAAATAAATGTAGTTTTCATTTTATCCACTTCCTATCACCTTCCTTGCTTTAATGGAACAGATTTATGTTTTCTCTAATTTACATAATAAGACGTCACTTAACCAAAAAAAAAAAATTACAAAAATCATATTTTTTTTTCTCTCCCTGTCGCCGATTCTATTATATCTGTGGAATAGATCCTGTTTTGATTAATATTAGGGGTTGTAAATGTTTGACTAAAATTATAATTTATTATTAATTTCAAAATTACCTAATTTCGATTATAAAATTTCTTCTATAACGTGTATTTTATTATTTTTATCCTTTTTGGACTTTAAATTGCTTTTTCTAAACTTTTATTTAAAAACCTGTCTTAAATCTTAATAAAATATAAAAAGTTTAAATACGATATATTTTTAATTTAATTATAGCTTCATTAAAATAAAAAATTACCCGGCTATGATACGGAGAGTTCAGGTGTACTTGAGAAACGAAAGACAGTGTTGTGTTTCTCGGCAGAGTCGTCAGGGAACGACCGTTACGACAGAGACAACCTATCTATCGCTCGTGTCGCACTCGTTATAACCTAAAACAATAACACAACAATAACAAGACAGTGTCTGACCGCATGTTCCAGCTATTTATGAATGAGATGCTCAGTCTATATTTTATTTTAAGTCTATGATTATAATCTAATATCGGTATGGGTATTGATACTTCTAGTATTTTCGTAACCCTACCGATAACTTTTTTAACTCTAATAAAAATTTCAGGCGTGTTAACACGTGTTACCTAATGGGTACACCCATTCCCACTTCGCAACACGTGGGATAGCGTGGCATCGCGTCGGGTGTTGGCTAATGGGGTCCCAGCTTTATGATTAATTAAAAAAAAAGTTCCCCAATTTATCATTACAGTTAAATAACTATCTACTTAACTTATCTATTTTTGTCAATAATGACATGTATTGACTATTTTCATTCTTGGTCTTGCTGCAAAAGCCAAAACTACTTATTAGATTGCTAGTTATCAGTCTTGATATGGAACATAATTAAACCAATTAAATAAATGAGAAATCATCCTGTTCAAGCAAACTTATGAACCACACTGTAAAGAAACCGCACAAGAAAAACATCAATAAAATTGGCCACAAAAGAACGAATAAGAACACCTTTAGGGCACGTACACATTTATAGTACGTACCGATGAAATTTCTCCAATTAGTCATCGAAAAAGAATGCAGAAAAATATATTGTCTTTAATTCTATATTAAAAGCTAATTTGTTCGATTTTATTGTTCTCGTTTCTTTTTCTTTTAATGTTCTTGTTTCGACAACCAGAAACCAGTGACGGCAGAACGTAATTTTTTTATTGTTGGCACAAAAAATAATAGATAGTGAAAATAGAAATAGATTAATTCACAATCACCTAAATCACAATTTCAATGCTTTATTTAACTGAAATGAAAATGTAAATAGTGAAATTTTTTTTTCTTTGTAGTTTTAGTATCATTAAGCGCACTTGCATATTTTTCATACCTACTTTATTTTGCTGTTGAAAGATGAAAGGTTCCAAACCTCCAACTGTAATGTTTTAAAGAAGTTTTCATGTAACTTTTATTATATATTTAAACAAAATGGCGGTTATTCTAAAGTCGAGGAAATGAACATGGCGCACATTTCTGCAGAAAAAATTGTGCAAATTTGTGTTTAGAAACGCTTCCAAATGAAAATACATAAAACAAATTTTTTTAAACTGATTTCAGCTAAACGAAATTTTATCCCCCTATAATCAGCCGCCACTGACAAATATTAAGGTTTGGCAATAACACTTTGCATTCTAATAAAAATACTTCAGTCACTGAAATATGGGCGTGAAAAAATCTCGATGGAATTTGTCTGTGGATACTTGAATCCGCCTCGGGGATCTTGTTTGATTAGAATTAACGATGTAATTACTACCTTGGCCGACCATATTATTAATATTTAATTTTACAGACGCTTGACTTCTGTAAAAGGATTATTTGAATATAAATAGAGCATTAGACTAATTTGTTTCTGATGGTTTTTAAAATTCTTCGAGATTAGCTGAGTATGTCACACATTTTAACATTATTTAAAACTGATACAGGGTGAGACAAAATTAATATTGAACATTGGTCACCTCTAAAAGCAAGTTACTCTTTTATTTTATGAGTATATTATTTCGATATTCAATGGGGAATTAATGTCTCTTCAAAATACTATTAAGGTTGTCACCCCTCAAATAAAGGTTTTCCTAGATATTTTCATTTTTACGATTTAGTGTCAGTAGATCTTTACTATTTGATAAAATCTAGGTGGCTGTGATATGTCTGACGTTCCTTCAACATAGCTGTCTAATTAGTCTTTAACTTTTACAACTAGATATCATTTTGTGTCAGTTATAAAAGAAAAAAATCTCAGAAATTTGCCGAATATGGAAACTTATCCTACATCAGAGAGAATTCATATGATTCTATTAGTTGGTGAATGCAGTGTGCATTCACCAATTAATAGACTACTTAATGCTCCTGATTTTATTTAGTCTGGGTTTTTTATCGGGATATGTTAAAGACAGTGTTTACAAAACTTGATTAATTATTGTCGACAACATGAGAGAAATAATTGTAGCTGCTTTTCGAAGTAGAACTCCACACTCCACATATGCCTTTTAAAATAAAAGGATCTTTTAAAAAGAGAATCATTTTATGCAGTTACCAGGAAAGGAAGCATTTTGAGCATTTGATTTCACGTAGCTAATTTTTGTCACATAATTATAGGTTTATATCTAGTTTTAATTCTATAATAATTAAAATATTTTTTTAAACGTGTATTTTTTATTACTGTTGAGTATTTTACTCTAGATCCTTTAAATTTTGTCAAATTAACAAAAGGTATATTATTACAGCCGCACTAGATTTTTTCAAGTAATAAAGATCTACTGACGCAAAATCATAACTATTAAAATATCTATGAGAATCTTTGTCTGAGAGGTAGGCAACCTTAATAATATTTTGAAGATATCTGAATTCCCCATTGAACACCGGAATAATATACTGGGTGTTCCATTTAAAATAAAGGAGTAACTTGCTTTTACAAGTGACCAATGTTCCATATTAATTTTGTCTCACTCTGTATAACTTTTCGAGTCAAATTTTAATTTGGTTTAACCCCCATACAATCGTTATTATCAAATATAAATAAATATTTCTTATCTTACTTTTTATTTTGTCAAAGTTTTTGCAAAAAACATGTGAACCATACCTTAATACCGAATATTTAATTCTAAAAATACAAAGATGCTATATTTATCGATAGCAATAATTTTTGGGCTTATGCGTAGGTGGAATAGTATGAATTATTGTGGATTTACCTGTAAACAGCCGCACCAGCCGCGCTTGGAGTGCACGGCCGGCATGGCTGGAATATGGAGCCGAGGCAGCGCGGAGGTTATGTCGTTCCAGGCAGGAAGCTTGATCGTACACTTCGGCAGACCCTGGAAAGAACAAATAGAACTTAATATAGATACAAATAGAACAAATAGGACATAAAAATAAAAGCAATTAAATATTTCTTAAAACGCATCAGTTTCATTAGATCAGAATTCGAAAAATTTCCTAAGTAGCATTTGGATGTTATCTAACGTCGGGTATACGTCGCGTTCAATAAACCCGACGTCGGGTACCAACGTCGGTTCGCCCGTCTGACGACCCTTATTTGCACCTAAATGGGGAATACAGATTCGGGTCGCCTCGACGTCGGTATCTGACCTAATAGGGAATGTAATTCTACCAATTACCAACGTCATATTACGTTGGATTTTAGTTACTTAAAATTCGTGGCTAAGCACTTACGTTACGTTTGGTTTCATATTCGCTACAAAGAATACATAAAAACATAACCAAACTACCTAATTACAAATGGATTCATAATCACTCCTCGAATATAACTATAAGTGCCTATTTAATTTCATATTATAATAATTCTGAATCATTAATCCAGACTTCAGTTTTTTCAACGGAAGTCACTTTTTTGATATATCTGATTAAAATACTCCGGAAAACAACGAGCGCCTTCAAAATTAGGTAGAAATGAAATGAAAGAATTATGAAATAAAAATATCTATAAAAAAGTTACTCGCAAAATATTTTTTTTAATTTTCTAGCTGGTTTAATCATAAAACTGTACTGTGGTTCCCCCCAAATTCAACCTTATCAATATTATTCTACTAGAAATCGGAATGTGAATATACATTTTAAAAACAAAAAACCATTTTAAAATGGCTGACAATCGGATACGTGTTAAGAATGGCGGATTTCTGTGTCCGACTTAATATGAACTACCAATATACCAATTCCGACCGGGTCTCCAACATTAGTCGTCTCACACGACCGAAGTCATCAAACCGGACGACCCGCAATCGTATTATGACGTATATAATTCCAACGTACGCCACGTAACCTCACTTTGCGTATCAGTGATTTGTGGATTTGTGCAAGTATATTTTAGTTTTTGTTTTCTCCTTAAAAAAATGGGCAGCCACTTTTTTAAGCCTAACCTCACATGTGGGAGGAGGATGGGGTCTGCTGGTTTCCTAAGCTAAAAAATGAAATTAAGATGCACCAGTGTAATGCAGCATCTCTTCCGGATAAAAATCATTTATGAGTGGAGGCAAGACATCACTACTACTACTATTATTTTGCAAAAGCCTCGACCTCTTTCTGAAAAATGTAGATGAATCTCTAAATGCCTTTTTAGTGTTTTTTTAGGCATAAGTTTGTTTACAAAAACTTTTTATTAGGTTATGTTCATGATGTCTATTAGGTCGCAAATGCTACTTAATGGGTTGTATTTACGGACGTAAATAGAGATACGTAAATTAGGTTATAAATATGAACATAAAATACAACAAAATATAATTGGACGTTACTTTAGGGATTATCAGTGAGACGTATCCTATTCGGACAACGGGTAGACGTCGGGCTAGTTCAAGTATATGTATGTCGTGCAAGCCAACGTGGGAACGACGTTGAGAAATTAATAAAAATGGTACGTTGTTATTTTGTACGTCGACAGATCGTTGGATTTACCGACTCGGATCCAACGACGTCGCTTTTAATAGGAAAGCGACGTCACAGGTCGTATCACCAGCACCCGACCTAAATTTGCACAAGTCTGACGTCGCTTCAGGTCAGATTTAGTTCGAAGTCAGATAGATGCTACTTGGGTTGCTTGTACCAAATATTTGTAAAAGTGGCCAGAATAAATCAAATGCATAGGTATTATAGGTATGTATTAGGGTTTCCGGAACCGGATCTGTTTTTTGAAACCGCGATTTCTCGTTTTTTTCGGTACTGACTAATTTTTGTTCAATGGTGGTGCAGTTCATCAATCAGAAAGTAGGGGATGGCTTTTCAAAGTAAAATGGTTAAAAAATTGAGATTTTTAATTAAAATAATATCAAATTATTAAGCAATCAGTCATGAAAAAATTAACATGAACACAAACACTAACACAAGTAAAGAAAAAAGTATAGGTAAGAAGGTACGCTAGAAAGTATCAAAGAACTTTCTAACGTATAAAAAAAATAATTTTTTAATTATTGTTACCGAGGCCTGGTTCTGCTGTAATGGCCAAAAAGATCTGAACCCTGATTGGTAGTATTAATTAGAGATTCTGGAACCGTACTAAAATATTTTCGTTCAATGATTGTGGAGGTCGTTAATTAGCAAGCAAGGGATGATTCTCAAAAGAAAAACCGATAAAAATTGAGCTTCAAATGAAAATAATATCAAATTATTAAATCATAAGAAAGTAAACATAAACACAAATAATGAACACAAGCGATAAAAAAAAAGAAAATACATAGCTTAAATTATATCAACAAACTTAACTAAATTTGAAAAAAAACTTAACATTTTCAATTAAAGATGCAAATGTCTATAAAACATAACACAAAAAAATGTAACTAATACATTCAGCAATATTATACTAAATAATAAAATAACATATTTAAACTTCAGTAATTGCTAATAAAGTAATAAACATAGAAACTTCAAAATAACTTCTGAAGTAAGAACAGTAAGAGATCACCACTTATTTAGAAGAGTTTGATTTCAACCGCTAGAAAGTAACAAAAGTCTTTCGCACGTAACAAAAAATATGTTTTTAATTATTTTTACCGAGTCCCGAAAGTACCGAAAGAACCGGGAATTTCCGGTTCTTTCGGTACCAGGATTTCCCGGTTCTGAACCCTAGTAGTATGTATATTGACATGTTCTGTCTGATTAGTTTATATTGATTAAGTTTCTATGTATATAAACATATAATTTCACCAAAATATTGTGTTTGTTGTCGGATAGTTGTATATTAGTAGAGGTTTCTGATTGTTGAAAATAAAAAATAGAATAATTAATTGTAATACTGTAGTAATAATCGAAAAAAAAAAACGGCGTCCAGTTGGCTTAAAAATGAACACCAATGACATCCCCATCTAATTTTACATATAAAATGACAGCGATCTTCATTTCATAGCCATTGCTGACACCGTTTTTTTTCGATCATACGGTACTTCAGATATACATACAAAGTTATCAGTTTAAAATAATGAACTTGAAATATAAACGAAACTTAATAAAAACTATATAAGCAAAAATACTATTATAAATATTTTAATAGTTCCCACAATTTTCTGGCTTTTGTATACAGGGTGAGTCTTAAATGACTCCAAATATTTTCAAGGCTGGTAGATATCGATAAAGGAAACATATCATCTCTTTACCGTTTTTTAAATAAGTTCAAAAGAACTGAGATATTTTACTCTGAAAATTAAAAAAAAATACATTTTTCAGTTAAATTTTGAGAACCACTGAATCCTTTCGGAGTTTTCTTTTTTGTAAATTTAATCTAATATCTATATTGCCATATTATGAAGATATTATGTTTTTTTTTTCAAAAAATTGAAAATTTTCAAAAATTTTTTTTTCGCAAAAATATCTATGTTGCTGTATACCTATGTAACCTGTTTTATTCATTTACAAAGGATTATTATGTAATTAAATCCTTGGATTTAATATTATTATACAATCTCAACTCAAACAAAAGAGTTCAATGATTAAATGAGAGAGAATATAATTATTATTTAATACTTTCAAAACATATTTTAAACCTTAACTTAAAAAAAAACATTTTTAATAAAACAAATATATATTAAAGAAAATCTATTACTATTACTAAATTAATTTGAATACCCTTGGCCTATACTCTGGTCCCACATCACCATAACTAACACAGGCCGACATGATTTTTGTAACACGAGTCAGTTGCAGAATTTCTTCATAAAAATATGCTTCTAATAACAGAAAAAATACTCCTGAAGCTCCTACACGTACCACTTTTCAGTTGCCTAATTACGCCTCTTTTTTGCAGGTAGTCAATTTTATAGATGTCAGGTATTAAGTCTAGGTAGATTCGTTTACATACAGGTAAATTTTATGATGGGATGATTGAAAGGGACGCATTTTGTGCACTATAATATATTGTGAAAACATAAGAGAGTTCAGTTTTCAGTTGATTTTCGACGTGAGTTGTTCTATGCGTGTAGATAAATAGTACGAAAATGTCAAGTCAAACGCGCCGCAGTTGTAAAGTGTCTCCTGATCGATTTTGTTACATTTGTGGAGAATTTATGGTGCAATCACAAGCCAGACCATTTTCTAAAAATGTGAAGAAAGCCTACTTCAAGTATTTTGGAGTTTTGGTTGGAGATCAAGACAAGCAGTTGGCTCCTCATGTGTGCTGCGTTACTTGTAGCGTGTCGCTTGTGCAGTGGATGAAAGGAAGAGGAAAAAATGCCATTTGCGGTTCCAATGGTATGGCGAGAACCAACTAACCATTTTGACGATTGCTATTTTTGCCTGACGAAAACTGGAAGGTTTTTCAAAAAACAAAAAGCACAAGATCGAGTATCCCAATTTGCCGTCTGCCATACGACCTGTTCTTCATGGTGCAGATCTCCCAGTGCCGATCGCGCCCTTAGACTGGCAAGGTATTGTTTTGGAAGATAAGGAAGATATTGAATCAAACAGCTCTGGAGACCAGTGTACTGATCCTACCTTTACCCCAGAGGGCGGTTCCGACAAGCCACATTTGATTGTTCAAAGCGAGTTGAATGACTTAGTGCGTGACTTGGGGTTATCAAAGCAGCAGTCAGAACTTCTTGGATCCCGGCTTAAGGAATGGAATCTGTTAGCCAATGAAACAAAAATCACCACTTTTAGAAAAAGAAATGCTCCGTTCTCTGCATTCTACAGTATGGAGGATTCGTTGTGTGCATGTACTGATATCGATGGCTTAATGCAGGAACTTTCTATAGAACATTCTCCCCTGTGAGTGGCGCTTATTCATAGATTCGTCGAAATATAGCCTAAAAGCTGTGTTATTGCATAACGGAAATTTAAAACCCTCTATACCAGTTGCCCATTCAGTGACAATGAA